TAGAGCTTCCCAGAGCTGGGATTACTGGGGTGCACCACCATGCCCGTTGTAACAAGGCTTGAAGGAGAAATGACAAAGTCATATCTTTACAGCTAAAGGTTTATCAATTTTGTTTATCTTTTTAGAGGATATTTAATTACACTGACTTTTCTCTACAGCTTTTCTCTTCTCTTTATTATAAATATTATACTTGAATCTTCAATTTCTTTCCTTCTATTTGGTTTCCCTTCTTTTTTCCAGCATCTCAGTTTGGAAGCTTAGGTTGCTGATTTGAGATTTTTTCCTCTTTAAAATGTAAGTGTTGGGGGCTGGGGAGATAGCTCAGTAGAATAAGCACTTGCTCGGCAAGTGCAGGGTCCCGAGTTTAATTCCCAGTCCTGCAAAAAACAAAGTAAGTGTTGGGCCGGGGCAGTAGCTCAAAGGCATAAGCACCTGCCTGGCAAGTGCAAGATCATGAGTTCAATCCCCAGCACAAAATAAATAAAATGTAGGTGTTGACAGATGTAAATCCCTTCCGGCTAACGCTTTAATTGAGCATTGTGAGTTTTAGTATTCAGAAAAGCGTCCCACCACTCTTGCCCATCGGGATGGACTTTATTCCCAGAGGGCCGTGCCTCACTGGTCGCTTGCACTGAGCTGTTTACTTCTACATATTCGTGCGTCTCAAAAATTTCACTGCTTTTGCTTTTTAATTTTATTTCACTGTGGTCACAGGAAGTATTCTGTAGACTTCAGGTTTTTGCAGTTTTTCTGAGTTTTTACAGTTGAGCACATGCTCTCCTTCAGAGATGTTTTCATGTGCACCTGGAGAATGTGTGCTCTGCGGTCAGGTGGAATGTTCTACAGAAACCGGCTGGCTCAGTAATCCCTTCCTTCCTCCCTGCAAGACAGGGCTTCGCTACGCAGTCCAGGCTGGCCATGAACTCAGTACAGAGCCCAGGCTGGCCTGGACCACGAGGGAAGGCTCCTCCTGCCTCAGCCTCCCAAGTGCTGGGATTATAGGTGTGGCCACCAGGCCCAGCTCCCAGCTATTCTTTTAGCATTTTTATTATTTTTCAAATATCTACTAAATGGGCTGGAGAGATGGCTCAGTGGTCTAAAGCACCTACTTAGAACAAGCTTAGCAAAGCCCAGGGACCGCGGTTCAATCCCCCAGCACCACATGCCAGCCAGCCCCGCCCCCTGGTGGGCTGAGCTGGCCACACACACACACACACACACACACACACACACACAAATAAATTTTTTTTAAAAATCTACTAAATGCAGAGGTATTTAATTGCTTACATACATTTCATTGCAAGTGAGGTTTAATATTAGTGGTATAAATGTATTTTCATGTGTGAATTGTCTGTTCTTGTTCTGTCCCTTATCATTTTGTCTACTGAGATGTTCCTGTTTTTCTGATGACTTTAAGGAATTTCTTCATATGTTATGATTTAGATCTGAAATTATTCCAAACGTCCCACATGTTCAGAAATGGGGTTTAGAAGGGTGACTGGATGGCAGGCCCCTGGGCTGACCCGGGCCCCACCCAAGGCTGAGGTCCACGTTGGCCCCTGGAAGGAGGCCTGGGGCAGGCAGGCACTGGGGCAGCCGGGAAGGCTGCGGCCAGCCGTCCCTTCTCCGCTTGCTTCCCAGTGGCCATAGGTTTGTGGCTGTCTTTCACCACATTTTCCCACCTTACAGCCAGCTGTCACATGTCATCCACATGCGTGAGCCTCAGGATGGTGTGGGCGTCAGGCATTTTCCCAGGGATGACACCAACACAACAGCCTGGCCTTCAATCACTGTCACACTTGACTGAAATGTTTTTCCCACTCTATTTAACTTTTTAAGGTTTTTTTTTGTTTTTGTTTTTGGCAGAACCAGGGATTGAACTCAGTCCCTTGAGCTTGCCAGGGAAGCGCTTATTCCACTGAGCCATCTCCCTGGCCCCAACTTTTTAAGTTTTATTTATTTATTTGGCGGAACCAGGGATTCAAATCAGGCCCTTGTGCTTGCCAGGCAAGTGCTTATTCCACTGAGCTATCTCCCTGGCCCCAAACTTTTGAGTTTTATTGCTTCAAACTTTAGAAACTTCTTATGCTTCAAAGTCTGAAAGAGATTCTATTTTTTCAAGATGTGGAAATGACAGGACTTTCCTTATATATATGATCTATAAATCTTGCAAACAGCTACACATTTTTTTCCTTGTAAGTAATGTCGAGTGAGCCCCTACATGACTGACTTGTTCAGGGAAGTCAGACATGGTATGGAGCTCACCTCAGCATGGGTGGGGACAAAGACACACACAGGAGCTGCAGCCTCTGCACAGCCGCTGGGGACAGTTCCCCAGGCAGCCCAGGACACAGTCCTGACAGCCCTGTGCACTGCCCCCGCCCCTGCTCCCACACCTGGCATCCCCTGTGACTCTCCATCTATTCAGTCCCACTTTTGTGGTGCCATGTTAGAATTTAATCTGACATTACTAGCAAACTGCTTACGGGTTCCAATGCTGATTATTAAAGAAAAAGGTGGGGCTGCAGGTGTAGCTCAGTGGTAGACTGCATACCCAATGCGCACATGGCCCTGGATCTGATCCCTGGCGTTAGAAAGCAAAGAAGAAAGAAGAGGGAAAGAAAGGGGATGGAGAGGGGAGAAGACAGAGAAACTGGAACCCGAAGGTAGAGGCAGGCTTGTCACCTTGGGAGAACAATGTCTCCTGCAAACGTGGTGCTTGCTGGCGGCACGGTCTAACAGAAGCGTCTGTTCAGGCCCGAACTCCTCTTGCTGTTTGATTCCCAGAGTAGCAGTAATTAAGCAGCTTGCCCAGGGCTGCACTAGCCAGAGAGAAGCCTTCCCTTCTGCTCGGCCTCTGCTCCACCATGTGTGGAAGCAGCATGTGGCCCTACGAGGGGTGGCTGCCAGATCACAGCCTTTCAAACACCCAGAGTCAAGAGCCAAGGTGAAACCTTTCTTCTTTAAAAGCTACCTGCTCTCAGGCATTTTCTTATATGCCCAGGAAATGGTCTAAGACAGAAAACTTAAAAGAGGGCTCCAGTTGGGTATGGTGATACATGCCTATGATCCCAGAACACAGGAGGCTGAGATAGGAAGATCACAAGTTCAAGACCAGCCTGGGCTATATAGTGAGTTCAATCTGGACTACACAGTGAGACCCTGTCCACAAAACAAAACAAAGTCATAAAAACAATGAAAAGGGGCCAGTGAGATAGCTCAGCAGACTGAAGCGCCTGCTTAGGCAAGCACAGGGACTGCAGTGAGAGCCCCACGGACTGCACACATGCTGCGCCAGCCCTGCCCCCGGGCAGGCTGAGCTGGCCACAGAGTACTGGTATAGTGGCCCACACCTGTAATCCAGTACTGGGGAGGCTGAAAGCAGGAGTCCCTGCTGCATAGTGAGACCCTACAACAACCAAATACATTTAAAAAAAAAAAAAAGTGAGGGGTTCCATTTGTGACTTCTGGCTAGTGCAGCCCTGGGCTAGCTGCGTAATCACTGCTACTCTGGGAATCACACAGCAAGAGGAGTTCGGGCCTGAGCAGGCGGCAAGGCCCCACTCCTCACTTCGCCTGGACCTGCTGAAAACGCTGCTCAAACGCTCAGTCGGCAGTCCCCGCCCCTCAGTGCTGCAGACACGTTACACTAGGACAGCCAAAGCTGGATTGCACGGAGCTCCACCCACAAGTGCCTGCCTGCAAGCACAAGACCCTAAGTTCAATTTCTGTTTTTCTTATTTTTTAAAACTACCCAGAACACCTTAGCTACTGTAAAAGCCCAAAGCCCCTCCTGATCCTCGTTTCGCTCTGGACTTGGGGAATCTTTTTGCTGCTGGCCATATAAATCATACAACTTCCTTCACATCCATTGGTGGTACCGCACTTGGGTTAGACCCTGTAATGCACCACAGCGAGGGGGGACTGCCCAGGGTCTCGCAAGGAAAACCAAGCACCGCCAAATGATGTTTTCTTCCTGTCTTTTTGAGACAGGGTTTCATTATGCATTCCAGGCTGGTCTTGAGCTCACTTTGTAGCCTAGGCTAGCCTTGAACTCAAAGTGATCCTCCTGCCTCAGCCTCACAAGTGCTGGGATTACATGAGTGAGCCACCTCTGGACTCATCTGAGTGTTTTGCTTCATGGCTTCCCAGAATCCTTTCCATGCTTAGACAGGTGTGGTGACACACACCTATAATCCCAGCATTTAGAAGGTGAGACAGAAGGATTGCTGTGAGTTAAAGGCCAGCCTGAGCTACATAGTGAGACTGTATCTCAAAAAAAAGAAAAGGAAGAAGAAAAAGGAGGAGGAGGGTGCAGAAGAGGAGGAGGAGGGGGAGGAGGAAGAAGAAGAGAAAGAAGAAGAGGAAGAGGAGGAGGAAGACAAAGAGGAGGAAGAGGAGGAAGAGGAGGAAGAGGA